CTAGATAGATATGCTAATTCCTGAAACCTATAAAACTTGTACCCGTGCTGTACACGGGTGTGCATTCTGCCATCAAGTTGTGCACCTGGGATCCCAAATACTGAGGTAAAACCCTTTTTATCCCYTTAACCRTGTCTGTGTCATTATTAAAAACTGGCYKYTCAAGGCAACAGTACCAGCACAGGAGGTCCAGCAGTGTCCTGGAGTTGGTGGCCATGCAGCTGACCAGTCCAGCCCCATGCCCAGGGTCTGTCCTGCTGGAGGGTCCCACTCAGCCACCCAGCCAGTGGCTCATCTCTGCTGTGCTGCATCTGCTGGAGAGGTCACACAGTGAGGAGGGGTTGAGGACCTGAGCTGGGCCACACAGACCTCTCTGCGTTCTGTTTTTGGGTTTCCCCCATTCCTTCCTGGCTGTGCCAACCCTGCACCTCAGAGCAATGGTGGTGGCACAGACTAAGGGCTGGTGGAGGACACGGATTATTGGTGAGGAGGAGGAGATGATGCCAGGAGGTTCCTATGCCAGTTCCTGCTGCAGGAACTCTCCTCAAACTCAGCCCTGTGCTGCAGGCACAGCTCCTGTGCTCCCCAGGAAATTGTGCTTCTCTGCTGTTTCAAACCAGGGGAGGTTATCTGTGCCTTACAGAAGCCTGGTACCCAATGGGTTAAATTGGGGAAAGCAGAATCTCCAGGAATGGGAGCATTTAAAGCCCAGTCCTCAGCACCAGGACTCATCCCTGCCGAGGGGGAACAGAGGGTCCTCCTCTTTGGTCACTACTTCCAGAACAGGAGAAATGTCAAAACTGAAGCTTGGGCTCAACTGCACAGCTTCACTAACACCTGAAATACTTTATAGCAGTCCCAGCTTGGACACAGGCAAAAACACTGGGAAAAAGAAACAAGCTTCCCTTTTCTCCTTCATCCCTACTGCCCGTATAAGTCATGTTGCTAGCAAAGGGTAAGATCTCTTAGCAAGATGCTGATTTATGGTCGATAATGTCATGACAGAAAATGGATTCAAGCAGGAAATTAATTTTCAGAGCTATACAGCAAGGAAAAATGATATTTTTGTAGCCCTTCCCCRCAGACAGAGCAGAGCATGAGTAGGTATCAGTGTGTTTAGTAAGACAGTTTAAACTCCCTGGAACAGTCAGACAGCATGCACGATCTGTGTTAGGATCCAGTCAGCTCCAAACACCCCTCAGTTACAGGTGTGAGCCAGAACTTCATGACATCACACAAATAAATATAAACAAACACAGTAAAAAGGCTTTACCTTGCGCTTAAGCAAAAGGTGAAATTTTCCAGTCCTGTGGGATCCTTCTCTGRCCTCAGGTCTGCTGGCTCACGGTGCAGCAAAATGATCTGGCATTTATCAACCTTCTCAAGGTCTGCAGGTCCTGAGGGTGTTTGATTTGGAAAGAAAGGTGTCAGGAGGAGATTCCTGAACACCTCCACCCAGAGTTATGTAGGAAAAAAAAAGAAGAAATAAAAGCAAGCTTTAAGAGGTCAGAATGTGTAGCCTGTCCGGAGCTGCTATTCCTAGTAGAAATTAGACCCTGAAGTGCCCAGGTGAAAATCAGGGATAATCCCTGTGTAAGTGCTTCTAATTGGGACAAACTGAAAGTGAGAAAGTTGAGCAAGACAGCTCTGGCCCATCCCTGGGGGCTCTGGGTTTGTTCTCAGCTGGTAATTGAGAGCACAATTATGCAAAGCGTCCTCTATAAACAGAATTTGGTTTATTATGGCCGAACTGGGGGAATCTATTTCTGTCACCACTCGGGGAACGCGTTACCCTTGTGATTTCCAGCCAGGTCATTGCGAGTCAGCTGCTTTGGCTGTGGCTGTCAGTGGAAKCTCCCCTGTCTGCCCAGCCCCTGGCCCCATTTCTCACCCCCCCTTGGCTCCCAGGAGAGGGGGACGAGGGGATGAGCCTGTGGCTATTCTGGTAGCGGTGAGCTATGGAGGTGTCACGTGAAGCAAAGAGCCAGAAATGCATGTCAAATCGAACCAGTGAGTAATCACGGTATTTTGGTTGTCTTAGTGTGCCTGCCGGGGAAAGATTTATGGGCTCAGAAAATCTTCCTGTAATAATCCCTGGGCGCTGATTTGATCTTGGGCTGAGGCTTCCCAAAACCGWGYGGAAAGAGGACGGAGCTGGAGCYGCTGTCCCAGGGCTGGTGACGCCCAAACTGATCGGAGTTGGAAACACAAACAAGAGGAGAAAAGCCAAAAAAACAGTGCTGTGTGTGCCCAGAGCCACACGCTGGCAGCCAGAGAGGATCCATTTGATTTTGATCTGCCTGTGGAGCGAGGAGGGTCGGGGGTGACGGTGGAGCGGACACCACGGGCCGTTTATTGGGATTGTCATCTGGCTCCCTCATCTGTCACCTGATGGCCAGCCAAGCCAGTGCTCAGCACAGCCATGGACTCCTCATCCTTGTGCAACGTGTGGAGGCAAGAAAAGTAAGCATCCTGCAGCTGATATGACATTCAGCTGTTTTTTTCTATAAAGGGATGAATTGAATTCACTAGAAACCTACTAACTGTCCCTCTATGCCAGGCAAGAGACTGACTTGTTCTCTTTATTGGTTGATAATATTGACTTATTGTTTTCTCTAACAGCTGGGCATTCCAGCCATGGCTGTCGAGTGAGGCAGCTGTTTCAATATCTAATTGCATTTTAGCTCTAACAGCTCAAGGGGAAAGCATTGCATTGTCTACCATGAGCTACTTCCTGTCCTACTGCAAAGCACACTGCACTGCTGTGCTTGCCCAGTACCAGAGCCTGAGGTCAGAAGGCTTTCTCTGCGATATTCTGCTGAAAGTGAAAGAAAACGAGTTTCCTGCACACAAGTCCTTGTTGGCATGCTCCAGCGACTACTTCCGAGCCATGTTCAAAAGTTACACCCAAGAGTCTAAAGCCAGTGTCATTCACCTGCAAGTTGTCTCACCCACTGGGCTCCAGCACATCCTGGATTTTATTTACACATCCTTGCTGCCCCTTTCTTTTGAAAGCCTGGAGGATACCTTGGAAGCTGCAAGCTACTTGCAAGTGACTGATGCTATCGGYTTGTGCAATCAGTACTTGGTTAACAATCTTGCCTTGGAAAACTGCTGCTTCTCTGCCAACGTGGCCAGGAAGTTCTACCTGCCAGATGCCCTAGCAGCCACAGAAAAATACATCATCAAAAATGTCTGGAAGCTGCTGGACTCGGATTTGTCAGGACTTCTCGAGCTGAACTTCAGGTCTTTGCTAGCAGTGATTCAGTCACCAGATCTCCCCATGGTGGAAGAATGCCGCCTGTTGGATCTCGTACTGCTGTGGTTGAAGCAGGATAAATCCAGGCTGGATCAYGCCAGCAGCCTTTTAGAGCACATAAGATATGGTCTCATCCCAGTGGAAAAGCTGAGAAAAACCTACACGCAGTCAGAAGTGTCCCTCTCAGCAGGTATCAAGTGCTTGATCATAAAAGCGMTAAATTATCACACATCTGTATTCAAGCAGCCTGTCCTGCAGGATAAATCCACCACACTGAGGAACCAGAAAACTCGGGTCATTCTGCTGGGGGGAGGGACGGCAGGTGAGGGGCTCATCAATGATGTGGTGGCTTTTGATGTTTACAATCACAAATGGAGAACRCTCACGCAGCTGCGGGACAGGGTGCAGAACCACAGTGTGTGCGTGGTGGGGAACTTCCTCTATGTCCTGGGTGGGGAAATACAAAGCGGTGCCCTGGGCGATGCCAAAATGGAAAAATTATCGGTTACAAACCAGGTGCATCGATATGATCCAAGATTTAACACGTGGACACAAATCACGGGCATGCTGGAAAAGAGATGYCAGTTCTCCTGCTGTGTCCTGGGCAAGGACATCTTTGCCATTGGTGGAAGGGGGGAGGATGGGTCGCTGCATTCCTCTGTGGAAGTCTATGACATCAGCAGGGACAGATGGACGAAGGCCAGGGAATTGCCATGCAGGATCCATGGCCATGCCAGTGCTGTTTGCAAGAACACCATATACATCTCTGGGGGAAAGTACTCGGCCCCAGCCAGCACCAGCAATGACGTTTATTCCCTGAGCTCACTTGAGGGCCAGTGGGTGAAACGAGCCCCAATGAGCATTGCTCGGTTTGGGCATCAGATGGCAACCATCAGGGAATCCATATTCACCTTTTTGGGATTATATGAACCTTTCTCTGAAATTGAAAGGTACGACCCGGATAAAAACCAATGGATCCGATTAAGACCGCTGGTGTACGATCGATTCTCCTACGGCCTGGCAGTGGTGGAGGAAACAGCTCTTCTGATTGGGGGAAAGAAATGGCAAAACTCCCTGGAGGTCTCCACACAAGATGTGGTTGGGTATGACATCGACAACGATGGCTGGGAGGAGATCTGCAGGGCCCCTCTGCCCTGGTGGGGGTTGCAGTGCGCCGTGCTCCAGCTCGCCGAGGTGCCCGAAGAGCAGGACTGGGACAGCCAGAACAAGAAACTGCCCAACTGCTGAGCTCCCAGGCTGAGGAACATCCATCCTTGAGGAATATCCATCCCTGAGGAACATCCATCC